TAATCTTAGAGTTGAGAAGGCCCCTCAGAAATGTGACATAAAACTCAGAAGTCATAAAACAAAAAAACCTGAGATATTATCTCCATAAAAATTAAAAAAAGAAATTGTACATGTCAAAAAAAAAAAACCTGGAAAAAGTGAAAAGAAAAATAACAAATGGTGGAGAATATTAGCAACAAATTTCTTTCTTTCTTTTTTTTTTTTTTGAGAAAGATTAGCCCTGAGCTAACTGCTGCCAATCCTCCTCTTTTTCCTGAGGAAGACTGGCCCTGAGCTAAGATTCTGTGCCCATCTTCCTCTACTTTATATGTGGGACGCCTACCACAGCATGGCTTGACAAGTGGTGCAGTGTCCACACCCAGAATCCGAACCAGCAAACCCCAGGCCGCCGAAGTGGAACGTGCAAACTTAACCGCTGCACCACCGGGCCGGCCCCAAATTTATTTTCTTTAATACTGAAGAGTACTAAAAAAGAGAAAAATTAACCATCTTTGAGGAAACTGGTAAAGGGTATGAAGACATGGTTTAAAAAGAAGAAGAAATTTGACTCCTAGGCATATATAATAATCATGATTGACCTCATGATAAGGAAATGTAAATTTAAAGTATAATGATACTATTTTTCAAGTATCTGTGGAAAAATTAAAGAATGTTAATCACTATTATGGAGGGCTGTGGAAACAGACACTCTTCCACAGCTGTTGGGAATGTATACTTACATAATGTCTAAAGAGAGCATTTTGGCAATATCTATCAAAATATACACAGACGTGCCTCTTATCCTAGCAACTCTAATGCTAGGAAAATATCCTCCAGATGTCCTTGGACACTGCAAGATGATATGTACAGCAACATGCTGGATTTAAACTGAACCATAGCAATAATCACATTAAATGTAAATAGTAAATACTCTAAGTGGCTGTTGGATTGGGTAACAAGTCAAGATCTAATTATATGTTGCCTACAAAAAATGCACTTTGTATGTAAAGAGACACATAGCTTAAATGTAAAAGAATGAAAAAATATATACCATGCTACCCCAAATCAGAAGAAAAGCTTGTGTAGCTACATTAATTTCAGATAAAGTAGATTTTGGAGGAAAGATTGTTACCAGGGATAAAAGAAGATCATTTCATAGTGATAAAAGGGTCAATTCCTCAAAGATAGAACACTCGTAAGTGTTTATTCTACTAATAACAGAGCTTCAAAATATAGGAATCAAAAACTAATAGAATTGCTGGCGCTGGCCCAGTGGTGAAGTGGTTGGGTTCACACGTTCTGCTTTGGTGGCCGGGGGTTCGCTGGTTCGGATCCCGGGTGTGCTCCTGCACACGGCTTGTCGGGCCATGCTGTGGCAGACATCCCACATATAAAGTAGAGGAAGATGGGCACAGATGTTAGCTCAGGGCGGATGTTAGCTCAGGGCGGGTCTTCCTCAGCAAAAAGAAGAGAATTGATGGCAGATGTTAGCTCAGGGCTGATCTGCCTCAAAAAAAAAAAAAAAAAGAAAGAATATAATTACAAGAATACAAGGACAAATCTTCACTTACAGTCAGATATTTTAGCACTCCCCTTTCAATAAATGATAGACCAAATAAACAGAAAATCAGGAAGTATATAAAACATTTGAATAGCGCTATCACCAAATTGACCTAATTGACATTTATAGAACAGTCCACCCAACGATAGCAGAATACACATTCTTTTCAAGCGCCCACACAACATTTACTAAGGAAGATATATTCTGGGCCATAAAACAAGTCTTAACAAATTTAAAGGTTATGCGAGTTATACAAAGTATGTTATCTGATCACAAGTGAATTAAATAATGATAATAACACAATGAATGACATTAACTACCTGGGAAATCCCCAAATATTTGAAAGCTATACAACCCACTTCTAAATACCTATGTTTCAAAAAGGAAATCAAAGGGAAATTATTTTGAATGGGGTGATATTGAAAATACTTAGAGGGAAATTCATAAGATTAAAGGATTATATAGCAAGAGAAGAAAAATATGAAACAGTAATTTCAATTTCTGTTTTTAAAAACTAGGAAAAGAACAACAACCTGGAGTAAGCAAAAGAAAGGAAATAATCATCAACTCTTGTCGCTTTCATCCACCAGCTTTTTCTCAGATCTGTCTACTTCATTCTACCCCTGCTGCTACTACTTTATTTAAAATATTGATTACAGATGGTCAGTAGACCATACTGGATGAGTGCAGACCAGGGTGACCATTCACCCTGGTTTGCCTGGGACTGGTGGGGGAGGCGAGGGTGGGGTGGGGGGTAGGAGTAGCAGACAGGGAGGAGGGGCAGCTGGTTCCCAGGACTCAGTCCTTAAAACTGGGCAAGTCCCAGGCAAACCAGGATGAATGGTCGACCCTTGTGTAGGTGCTGGAGCCAGACCTTGTACTGGAATCCTTCCTTTAGCTCCAGACAAGCAACTTAGCCTCTTGTGTCTTGATTTCCTCATTTGGAAATGGGTGTTAGAGTAGTACCCATCTTAAAGAGTTACTGTGAGAATCGAATAAGTTAATGGATGTGTAAAGTGCTTAAAGCATAGAAAGCACTGAATTAAAGTTAGTGGTGGTCTTGGTGATTAGTTCAGGGTGGAGATTGGTTTCTTTCTTTTTCTCTCTCTCTCTTTCTTTTTTTTTAAAGTTCTGAGCAGTAGCCTCCTGTCTCACTTTTTCCTTCTACACTTACCCTGCTTCAGGCTTTCCTTCACATGCAGCCAGTTGTCTTTTTAACACAAATATAAACATACAATTTCCTGCTTCAAATACTTCAGTGGCTCCTCAGGCCCCTTAGGTCAAAGTCTACATTTCCTAACAAAGTTTACAGAGCCCAGCATTCACTCATTTTCCTAATTCTTTTCTTCCATGCTTTGTTCACTGGTCTTTCTCTTCTCCAAGCCTTTGCATGTGCTGTTGCTTCAACTAGATTCTATTTTTTCTTTGTGTTCTCCCATACTCTGACTTTTTCTCCAGACTCAGCTCCTCCTTCTGGCTTCCCTGACCTCTGCCTGCACCCTGTCCCTATCAAAGTAGATTAGTTGGCCTTCTTTGTACTCCCGCAGCACTGTGTGTTCTCTCTGAAGTGGCACTGATTATAGTATATTACTATAGTATATTATATACTATATATAATGTAGTACTGCACTCCTATAGTATTGGTTTTTCATCAACCTTCTTTGTTCTCGTAGTAAAGGAAATGTATACATAAGATACAATGAAGTAAATATTCCCAAATTTAGCATATTCCTTCTTCCAGGATTGCCTTGCCTTCCCTTTATTACAATTTGTTGTAAAATTTATTGTAAATTTATTACAACTCCTGGAAAATTATAATTGGTTCTTCAAAATTTAGTTCATCTTGAACACCTAATACTTGAATATTTCTTTGCCATCCTCTGCCTTTCCTGTCCACTTCCCTTGATCATTTCTTATCTACCACGTTAGTAATTTTACTGCTTTTTATCGTAGCACTGAGCACCCTGCATTAAAGTTATTTGTTTTCCATTCTAGACTACAACAACGTCAAGTCTTTATTTAGGATCTACTATGGGCATGGCAGTATGCCCATAGTAGATTTTTTTGTTGATTCAAATTAAAAAACCCAGTATGCTAGGTTCTGGGGGTATGCTCATGAGCAAAGCTAACATAGTCCCTGTCCTCTGATGCTTACAATCTAAAGGGAGAAATAAAAATTAATGATATTAAATAAGTAAGTATAATATTGCAAATTGCCTAGTGCTGTGAAAGAGAAACGTTTGATGTTATGAAAGCATATGATAAAAGTTTAACATGGAGAAAGTGACTCTCAAGCTTACAGTTGAAGATTAAGGAGGAGTTAATTACATGAAGAAAGAAGGGAAGCACAAACCAGGCAGAGGAAGCTACGAATGAAAAGGTCCTTGTGTAACTGTCTGTAATAAGTCATGGAAAGAAGGCTGGTGTGGCCGGAGCAACCTTGTGAAAGTAGGCTGCAGTAGGAGCTCTGGAGGGGAGTGGTTGGAGGCATGTAGGTTATTAGGTAGCCCAGTGAAAGGGGTGATGGTAGTTCGGACTAGGGTAATGACGTTACAGACTGAGGTGGGTTTGAGAGATTTTTATAAAGAAATTTTGAGAGGACATAGTGATACATTGGATCTTGGTTGCTATGGGATTGAAAGATTGAGAGTTGTAGAAAGGATTATCTGCAAATTTCTGAGATTCATAACTAGATGGATTATGACCTCTTCACTGTTTTATCTTTCAGTCTGATTCAGCATGTGGCCTGCCTCAAGTAAATATTTGTTGAAAATGAATGAGCATTGTTTTAGTTACAAAAAAGTTATATTCAACTGAAATATAAATTATATGAGTAGAAAATGCATTGTTCAGTGGGAATTAAACCTAATAATTTATTCTTTGCATTGAAATTTGAACATACATCAAATGGGACCTAAACTAGTTTATCTTTGTGCAATCTTTTAAAATAAAATTTGTGTGCAACAAGCTAGTATAAGGTGCAGTCATTTTCTAAGAGAAATGATGACAAAACACGTCTAAATTCTATATAACCATTGATATTTTTCTTCTTATTAAAGTGATCCCCGAAGTTGGGGGTTTTTTTCCCTTTGCAACACATTTCAGCTTCATTATAAACAATTCAAGCTTTTTTATTGTTGATTGAAAAACATTGGGGAGGGAATATTGAAATCTATTTCTTCAAGTTCCTATTGCTCTTCTCTGTAATTTTGCTGAATTACTAATACACACACATACACACATTTTGTTGTGGAAAATCTTGTTATTGGAAATGTAAACTATTTAGGACCAGAGTTCTCCTTAAAGTAAGAAATTGGAAGTTGTACAATATTTTTATTCTAAAATCTTAATTTATTTTTTCTTTAAACATATTTATAACCTGTAATACTAGTGTTTGAATAATAAGTTTTAACATCATCGCCAGTAACATTGAAAATGCTCCTGTGACTCTGTTTTACAGGTGCGTTCTTCTCCCTCTTTTGGGAATGAAGCCTCCCCAGCAAAGCCTGTATCTTCTGGTCGATTCTGTTGATGAAGGGTGTAACGTTCCTGAAGGGGAACAGACATCTACCAGCTTATCTGGGACTGTTGCAGAGCTTTTAGCTGGGCACCATGAGTTCTTCCCACCATGGCTACTGCTTCTCTGTTCTGCCCGAAAACAGAGTAAGGCTGTTACTAAAATGTTTACCGGTAAGCATAATTATTCTCAAATGTTTTTCATGGATGAACTAGTGTGTGCGTTTCTTTCGTAGAGGAGAGTACGCTGTTGAAAATCTAATTGTTGCTTCTACTCTTCAGTCAGCTATTCTATCTGTTCCATTAGCTAATCTCAACTGTAGTTTTTTAAGTTGTGTTAAAAACAAGCCATAGAATGTTTTAAGATCATTCGACATTACCTTTTTCTCAAGATTCTTTTGCTAACTTCCTTAGTAAAGGTTAGGAGTATTTCATGCTTGCTGTACTTTTGTAGGGCTGCATTTATTATGCTATTGTGTCCATGATCAGTTTAATATTTTTCCTAACTATTCCGAGCATCTTGAGAGTAGTGAATATGCCTTTTAAAAAAATGAGTGGCAGGGGCTGGCCCCGTGGCCGAGTGGTTAAGTTCGCGCACTCCACTGCAGGCGGCCCAGTGTTTCGTTGGTTCGAATCCTGGGCGCGGACATGGCACTGCTCATCAAACCACGCGGAGGCAGCGTCCCACATGCCACAACTAGAAGGACCCACAACGAAGAATATACAACTATGTACCGGGGGGCTTTGGGTAGAAAAAAGGAAAAAAAATTTAAAAATCTTTAAAAAAAATAGTCTTTAAAAAAAAAAAGTGAATGGCAGTTACTCTAAGACCTTTTTTTGTGTAAGAGGAGAGACAGAGTCAATAGCTTTTGAGGATACCTCTTGAAATACATCCTTTTTTTAACGCTTTTCTGGTATGTGAGAAAACAGTCTATATAATATATAAAAATACATGATCAGGTTTTTTCCTTCTTTCACTTTTCTTTTTTTCTGACTTGACTTTTTTACTTTTTTTTTTCCTATCACAGTAAAGTTGTGGTGACTCCTGTTAGATTTTGTAAAACACTCTTTTTGCTCTGGGAAATAAAAGGCGTGTAAAACAAGGACCACTCACAGAATTTATGGTGTAACTGGAGAGAGAATAATCAAGTTACTGGTTAATTAGTCATATCACTTTTAAATCGTTCTATACACTTTCCCAAGTGGTGAAACCTTATTAATTTGTTAAAATGATTTCCTATAACAGCTTTGTTCCCTCTGTCAGCTTGTCTCTTTTAGATTCCCCTGCTACTAATGGTGGCACTTTTGGTCTCCATTATAGTATTCTGCTTTGTTTTAGTGATAAATCTGTAGTTGATAAAAGTTTGGGGATTGGAATGATAATAGCTAATACTTATGCAGCATTTAATGTGGCGGACACAGATAAAGTGGAAGCCCCTTTTGGTCTGTCATCCCGTTCCTTTCTCTTCTTCATTAGAGGCAGCTAGTATCAGTTTATTTTATATCCTTCCAACTCTTAGCTATATTCTGTATATTTTTATAATTTACACAAATGAAACACTGCATAGACCATCTCAGCTTTTACCATTCACTGGCTGTGTGATCTTATACAACTTACTTATCTGTGCCTCAGTTTCCTCATCCATGAAATAGGGATTATACGTTCCTGTTACTTTCCTCATAGGGTTTTTGTGAGGTTAAGTGACAGATTGATTACATGTGAAGCACTTAGAACAATGCCTAATACATAGTAGGTGCTTCATAAACATATTGCTGCTATTATTATCATTATCTTTATATCCTCTTTTTTTAGCAAACATTATTTTTGAGCACTACTCCTATTACTGCTAAGTAATTCAGTTCATTGCTTTAAACTGCTGTATACTATTCCTTCCCATGAATAAATTTCCAAGTTTTCCATTATCCTATTCATGGACATTTAGATTACTTTAGTTTTTTGCTATTATAAAAAACACTCCGTGAAAATGCTGTGCACATCTTCTTGTGCACATGTGCCAAAGGTTTACATTATAAACCTAGATATGGAATCGCTGGGTTACAGTGTGTATAGTTTTAACTTTAGTTTATTTTGCCAAATTGCTATCTAGTGTGCTTGAAATAATTTATGCATCTACCAGCAACATATAGATTTCCCTTTTCTCTACATTCTCATCATCAACATTTGTTATTTTCACATCTGCTTTTTTCTGCTTTAGGGTCTTGTGCGTGCTGTTCCCTCTAACTAGAATGCTCTTCCCCTGAGCCTCTTTTTAGTTCTCTGCTCAAATATCAATCTCACTTCTCTGTTTTTCTATTCTATTTCTATTTTTGCCTCCCCAGCTACTTAGTCACATGCTTTCTTTCTTTAGATCTTGTTTTATTAATACGTCTTATTACTATTGAACATTTGTTTGTATGTTATGTTTGTTTGTTTGTCTGTGTCCTCCACTAGGGCGTGGCCTACACGAGAATGGGAATTTTGCTCGTCTTCGCCACCGTGATGTCTCCCCAGCATCTAGAACAGAGCTTAGAACAAAGCTCTCATTCAGTTATTGCGAATAAGTGAATTTGTATTTTCTTTGAACCATGTCTTGGTGGAAAAATCAGTGAACTGGGAGGAATCAGGAAGGACTGGGTTATGGTCAGATTCTCTTACCCTGCGCCTTCCCCTCAGTTGTTGTTAATCATTAAACATGCTGGGCCGTACGTAAGCATTTGACCTCATTTCTGTTGATGATAGATGTGGAAGTTAGGGGTAAACACTGAAGAATGTTAGTGAAGGTATTAATACATACTGTTAAATTACTGTCCAGAAAGAAAGAGATTATATTCCTACCTGAGAGTGTTGATTTCTCTGAACTTCTAGTGTTGAACTATATCTTTTTTTTAATATTTGCAAAGTTGGTATGTGAAAAATAGTACCTCATTTTTATTTGCACTTCTTACTTACTGTTGAATTCTCTCCCCCTTATGCTTATTTTATCAGTTTGTCTCTTTTTTTCCTGTGAATTAGTACTTTCTCACCTTTACATATATTTCCTTCAGGAAGTTAGTGATACTCTTATTGATTAGTAAGAGGTTGTTTGTTTTATATTCTTTTATTCTTTGCAACTACTTTCTTCAGCTTTTTTAAGTTATTGTAATTCTTTTGAAGTCTGTTATATGTAATCTAATGTATTGTCCTTCACTGTTGCATATTTGTTCTTATTTTTACATTTAGTGATTTTTATCCATGTAGTATGTATTCCGCTGAAGGGAGTAAAATAAGGCTCTAACTTGTATAATTTATCAAACCACAAATTTTCTCAGCACTACTACTGGCCCCCATACCATTAGTTGGTGATGCGGCTTTTATTGTACATTAAGTTTAGGTATGTGTGCATATATGTGTGTCTGTGTGTTATTGAGATATTTCTAAACTGTCTGCTCTTCTAAACTATCTGTTGGCATTTTTGAGCAAATGCTGCATTGGTTTAATATTTTTAATTTTCTTACACAGTTACTTCCCAGCCGTCTTTGCCATTAATATTGTTGTTCTAAATTATATATTTTTACCTTTATTCCTCCAAGTTGACTTTAATAGCATATTTTTTAAAATTATAACTACCAATGATATAAACAAAAACATTTTTTAATTTGGTTAAAACTTTTAATTTAGGAAGAGTTTGACATTTAAAATATGCTTTTTTTTATAAGTGAACATAGCATATTTTTTCATTTATTCAACTTTTTTCTTAGATTTTTCAGTTTTCCTTATATATGTGTTACACATTTCTTTCTGCTTTTTGCTATTATTTTAAGTTGAAATCTTTGGATTTTGAATTGAGATGACAGATGTATCACCATAGGGCAGTAACATTAAGATATTTACTTTCTCTAAATCAGTTTCATCTACTCATATCTGAAGATGTAACATTTTGGAAACAGATTTTCTGTTTTTCCTGATGTATTTACTATACTGACTAGTAGCATTTTCATTAAATAAAAATTTTATTTCATTTCAGGTTAGAGTTAATTTAATGAAAATGGCTTTGGCACTTAAGCAGAATCTTGACTAATATGTGAGGGTATTATTATAGGCTAATAGCAGTTGGTACTTGTTATGGTCCTGGAAGAAATAGCAGCCCATTTGAAAACATTTTGTGCACAAAGAAATCAACCCTCAAAAATTTTTGAAGATTTTTGTGTATATTTATTTTATCTGATTATAAAAAAATACATATTCCACATAGAAAATGTTTTAAATGAGAACTACTAAAATATTGCATCATTCAGAAATAAAGTAATAACTGACCACCAGCATTTTGTATTAAATTCTGTATATGTTATACTACCTAGTTGAGATCCTAGTTTACATCCATTTGATTTACTGCTTTTTAAATTTAACATTTATAAGCCTTTTAGTGTCACTATGTTGTCTTTTTAATAACTCTTTTAATGGCTGCATAATTTATTAGTATATCAATATGCCAGAAGTGACCTTTCTTACTGTGCGCTCTTAGGTTTTATTGTCCTGGTCCCCATCCCCACAGGCTCTTCAGGATAATAAAGAATTGCAGCGAGCGCCGGTTTGTAAATATTGGCACAGGGCCTATCATTCCTTCACTCTGCTCACCACCACTGAGTGGGCTCATGCCCTGAGAAATGTTTTAAGTAAGGATAGAAATGTGGCCCAACATTTCACTAAATCGTGTTTTTATTCCCCTAAAAATTTTGAGCGTTTTTCAGCCTTTTCTTATGAAATTTTTTTAAAGCACTTTGATAGCAATGTGTTAAATTGTGCGTGTTCATAATAAGGGAGTTACATGTATAAGTTACAATTTAAAAAAAGCGATTATTTTCAGTAACTTTAACTCAAGATATTCAAATTGTTGATTAACAGATATTCTAAGTTCTGTTTTAATGAGCAGATAATTGTCCTTAATGAGAAACTTAATAATTTATTCTATCCAAATTCATATTACTAAGCATTTAGATTTGGGAAAGCTTTATTTTTTAAATTACAAACCTTTTCTATCTGTTCTTTGTGACATTTTCTCTCCTTCGTTTTAGAATTAATCCGGTGCCCCGGCCCTCTACCCCTTACTCCTCTATCAAGCACTCGCATTTTCTTTCACAGCTTTCTATGCTTATTCTCATCTTATGGAGAGCAAACTTTAAAGTCAAAACAGGCAGAATCCTGGATCTATAGTTTACTAGGTGTGTTACTCTGGGCAATTTACCTAACCTTTCTAAGCTTTAACTTCTTCATTTTTAAAGCAGGGAAACTTATAAGCCTGACTTAAAGAAAAGTCAGATATGATAAGTACTTGACGGGCTGCTTTAAAAATAGTTGATTCTCAGTACATGTTGATCTCCGTTGTTTCTTTCTCAGGAACAGAACCTGTTACTGTGGAGGCTTAGGCTAGATTCTGTCTTAGTTATCTCAAGTTTCAATCATGATATCGTAGTTAAGTAGGTTTAAATTATATGTATTTACTTAGAGTAGGTAATAGGATCTTTCATGTGAATCAGTCAGTATCTACAAGATCACTTTGGAAACTTGAAAACAGTGTATAATGTAAGATAGCCGTTGTTTTTAAAAATGCTTTTTATTAGCATCATGCCAAGTGTTTTCCAACTTAAATTGTTCTAATGAATTTTTAAAGCCAAAAGCAAATGAACACAGAAAACGGTTGGAAGCAAGCTATCTTATATCACTTGTAAATGTAGATTATTATGAATTTCTAAGCATGTGTTAAACTCTCTTTGTGTCAGGAATTTTTTTTTCATAATTAAAATTTATCTTTTGGTTAATTCTGTGGAAAATGCCCAGTTATATGTATAATCAGTTAAAGAGGTGTGTGTGTGTGTGTGTGTGTGTGTGTGTGTGTGTATATAATTACAGATTCCATTTTTTGTATAGATTTAGAGCTATGCAGATTTGTTATTTCTTCATGTGTCATTCTTAGTAGGTTGTATTTTTCAATAAATTTGTCCCATTTCATCTAAGCAGTTCAAACTCATTATCACAAAACTGAATTTATCAGCTTTTTCTCCAAACCTATTGTTTATCCTTCAGTGGTCTTTTTTTCCATTGTGTTGGCCAAGCGGGAAATTACTGTCAGCTTTCACTCCTCTTCTCTTTCCTTCTCCACACTCACTAAGCTCTATGCAATTTAGCTTTTTATCAGTAATTCCTGAATCCATAGTTTATTTTTATCTTTGCTGCTGCTGTGGTTATTTAGGCCCTTAGTGATTCTTATCTAGACCTTATCACGGCATCTTTAAAAGGTTTTGCCTATAGTCTCTACTCCAGTTCTTCCTGTTTAGTGATGTTGGAATGATCTGTAAAAATGCAAACCTGGGGACTGGCCCAGTGGTGCAGCAGTTAAGTTTGCACATTCCGCTTCGGCAGCCCAGGATTCACATGTTCAGATCCCAGGTGCAGACCTACATACTCATCAAGCCATGCTGGGGCAGGCGTCCCACACATAAAGTAGAGGAAGATGGGCACAGATGTTAGCTCAGGCCACTTTTCCTCAGCAAAAAGAGGAGAACTGGCAGCACATGTTAGCTCAGGGCTAATCTTCCTCAAAAAAAAGTAAAAAAATGCAAATCTGGTCACTTTATTGCCTTGATCAAAATTCCTCACTGACTTCTTATGACAAAATAAAAATCTAATCTCCTCACCTAGTACCTGACATACTGACATATAGTAGGTGATATAAATATATATATTTGTGATATATATATTTGTTTTATTCAATGGGTAAAAGGATATTTTACTCAGTATTAATTGACATTGCTAATCTTTGCTTGATTTCTGGATTTATCTCTAAAGGAAGTTCATTCACTCAGCATTTTTTTTCTTTTGTAAGATGAATACACAATTGTCTAATAAATTCGTGTTTAGAAATCAGGATATCTTCCTTTGGAAAATGAAATTGTGGTTTCCTGTAAAGAAGTTAAAGTGAATTTCAAATAGCTGTGACTAGTATGTTTTTAGGTTGCTTTGAGTTTTAAGTTGCTTTATTTTTACAGTGCTGAAGTTTTGTTAGCTTAATTTGACCAAGTTGCATCTTAATGGTCAAGCTATTTATTGACAGTCTGAGATTTAATTATTTTAATTTTATAACACATAAAATAATGTAATTTAAAAGCAGTGACAGGTGATGATGTAAATACTCATGCCCATAATTAAGGCTAGGGTACATTCAGGTATGTAAATAGAAATATGTAAATTTGTCATATGAAAAAGATCAGGTTGTAAAAACAAACAAACTTTATTTGTTATATCTTCTGCAACGTTCTCTCCTAGTCATTTAGGGGTTCAAAAAATCTTGACAAGGTGCTTTTATGGATATGTATGTAAGACTGTCTATTGCTTAGTTTAGTTTCTCTTATTGAAGTTGAGAGGAGAACTGAGCCATAAAAGAATAGGAAATCCTTCCACTTGTAGATAGGAAAATGAAGCAGTTTATCTGCCATCAGTGTGTTTTTACAGAAGGAGAAGAAAAGTGATTTATATACTAATAGATATTAATTTATTAGTATTAGCTGATTTAATATTGCTTTATTTGCTTGTTAGTTTATTATACATTATATGTTAAAGACATTTTTTTTGAGTATATGGCAACTTCTATAATCATTTTCAACTGATGGCATCTGCTTTTTTGTCTCTTCTGTAGGTTTTCGAAAAATAAGTTTAGATGACCTTCGGAAGGCGTATATTGTTAAGGATGTTCAGCAGTACATTCTTCATCGTTTAGATCAAGAAGAAGCTTTGCGACAACACCTCACAAAAGAAACTGCAGAGATGTTAAATCAACTGCACATTAAAAGCAGTGGATGCTTTCTTTATCTAGAACGAGTCCTAGATGGAGTTGTAGAAAATTTTATTATGCTGAGAGAGATTCGTGACATCCCAGGAACTCTGAATGGTCTGTATCTCTGGCTCTGTCAAAGACTTTTTGTAAGAAAACAATTTGCGAAGGTTCAGCCTATTTTGAATGTGATTCTTGCAGCCTGCCGACCTTTGACTATAACAGAATTGTATCATGCAGTATGGACCAAAAATATGTCATTAACTTTGGAAGACTTTCAACGCAAGTTAGATGTGCTCTCTAAACTGCTTGTTGATGGACTAGGAAATACGAAAATACTGTTTCACTATAGTTTTGCAGAGTGGCTTCTGGATGTGAAACACTGCACTCAGAAGTATTTATGTAATGCAGCAGAAGGACACAGAATGTTGGCTATGAGTTATACCTGTCAAGCCAAGAATTTAACACCATTGGAAGCACAAGAATTTGCATTGCACTTAATTAATTCAAACTTACAGTTAGAGACAGCTGAGTTAGCTCTGTGGATGATCTGGAATGGTACACCTGTCAGAGACTCCCTGTCTACTTTAATACCCAAGGAACAAGAAGTGCTACAGCTGTTGGTTAAAGCTGGGGCTCATGTCAACAGCGAAGATGATCGTACGTCATGCATAGTCCGACAAGCCTTAGAAAGAGAGGATTCCATTCGGACATTATTAGATAATGGAGCTTCAGTAAATCAGTGTGATTCAAATGGAAGAACATTACTGGCTAATGCTGCATACAGTGGCAATCTTGATGTAGTGAATTTACTTGTCTCTAGGGGAGCAGATTTAGAGATAGAAGATGCTCATGGACATACACCACTCACCCTAGCTGCTAGACAAGGACATACCAAGGTGGTCAATTGTTTGATTGGGTGTGGAGCAAATATTAATCATACTGATCAAGATGGTTGGACAGCATTAAGATCTGCTGCTTGGGGTGGCCACACTGAGGTAGTCTCTGCACTCCTTTATGCTGGCGTAAAAGTGGATTGTGCAGATGCTGATAGCCGAACAGCTTTGAGAGCAGCAGCTTGGGGAGGACATGAGGATATTGTACTGAATTTGCTACAACATGGTGCTGAAGTCAATAAAGCTGATAATGAAGGTAGAACTGCTTTGATAGCAGCAGCATACATGGGACATAGAGAAATTGTGGAACACCTGCTGGACCATGGAGCAGAAGTGAATCATGAGGATGTTGATGGCAGGACCGCACTCTCTGTAGCTGCCCTTTGTGTGCCTGCAAGTAAAGGACATGCATCAGTCGTTAGCCTTTTAATTGATCGAGGTGCTGAAGTTGATCATTGTGATAAAGATGGCATGACTCCACTGCTAGTAGCTGCCTATGAAGGACATGTCGATGTGGTTGACTTGCTCTTAGAGGGGGGAGCCGATGTGGACCACACAGATAACAATGGCCGTACACCCCTCTTAGCAGCAGCTTCTATGGGCCATGCTTCAGTTGTAAACACACTTTTGTTTTGGGGTGCAGCTGTGGATAGCATTGATAGTGAAGGTAGGACAGTCCTCAGCATAGCTTCAGCCCAAGGAAATGTTGAGGTAGTACGTACTCTGCTGGATAGAGGGTTAGATGAAAATCACAGAGATGATGCTGGATGGACACCTTTGCACATGGCAGCTTTTGAAGGTCACAGATTAATATGTGAAGCACTTATTGAACAAGGTGCTAGAACAAATGAGATCGATAATGACGGACGAATACCTTTCATATTAGCCTCGCAAGAGGGTCATTATGATTGTGTTCAAATATTATTGGAAAATAAATCTAACATTGATCAAAGAGGTTATGATGGAAGAAATGCACTGCGGGTTGCTGCATTAGAAGGGCACAGGGACATTGTTGAATTGCTTTTTAGCCATGGAGCTGATGTTAACTACAAAGATGCCGATGGTAGGCCTACACTTTATATTTTGGCCTTAGAAAACCAACTTACAATGGCTGAGTACTTTTTAGAAAATGGTGCAAATGTAGAAGCAAGTGATGCTGAAGGAAGGACAGCACTTCATGTTTCCTGCTGGCAAGGCCATTTGGAAATGGTGCAGGTTCTGATAACCTACCATGCTGACATCAATGCTGCAGACAATGAGAAGCGATCTGCCTTGCAGTCTGCAGCCTGGCAGGGCCATGTCAAAGTGGTTCAGCTGCTGATTGAGCATGGCGCTGTAGTTGACCACACATGTAATCAGGGCGCCACGGCACTGTGTATTGCCGCCCAGGAAGGACACATTGACGTTGTGCAGGTTTTATTAGAGCATGGTGCTGATCCAAACCATGCTGATCAATTTGGACGCACTGCTATGCGTGTTGCAGCCAAAAATGGACATTCTCAAATAATTAAGTTATTAGAAAAATATGGTGCATCTAGTCTGAATGGCTGTTCGCCATCTCCTGTTCACACAATGGAGCAAAAACCTCTGCAATCAGTGTCTTCAAAAATGCAATCATTAACAATTAAATCAAACAGCTCTGGTAGTACTGGTGGAGGGGATATGCAGCCTTCCTTGCGTGGTTTACCTAATGGGCCAGCTCATGCGTTCAGCTCTCCTTCAGAATCTCCAGATTCTACTGTAGATCGTCAGAAGTCATCATTGTCAAATAATTCCCTGAAAAGCTCAAAAAATTCATCTTTGAGAACTACTTCATCTACAGCAACGGCTCAAACAGTGCCGATTGATAGCTTTCACAACTTGTCATTTACAGAACAAATTCAGCAGCATTCATTGCCACGCAGTAGAAGTCGACAGTCGATTGTTTCCCCGTCTTCCACAACGCAGTCCTTGGGACAGAGCCATAATTCACCGAGTAGTGAGTTTGAGTGGAGTCAAGTAAAGCCCAGTTTGAAGTCAACTAAAACACATAAAGGAGGGAAATCAGAAAATTCCAGTAAATCTGGGTCAGCTGGGAAAAAAGCTAAACAAAATAACTCTTCACAGCCAAAAGTTTTAGAATATGAAATGACTCAGTTTGATAAAAGAGGGCCTACAGCCAAATCTGGGACTAGTGCCCCGCTGAAGCAAATGCCAGCAGAATCTCAGTGCAAAATTATGATACCTTCAACTCAGCAAGAAATTGGTCGATCTCAACAGCAATTTCTTATTCACCAACAAAGTGGGGAGCAGAAGAAGAGAAATGGAATAATGACAAATCCAAATTATCATCTTCAGAGCAACCAGGTTTTTCTCGGTAGGGTTTCGGTCCCACGAACAGTACAAGATCGAGGGCATCAGGAAGTGTTAGAAGGGTATCCTTCCTCAGAGACGGAATTAAGCCTTAAACAAGCCCTGAAGCTTCAGATTGAGGGTTCTGACCCGAGCTTCAACTATAAAAAGGAAACACCATTATAAAAGGTAACGTAGCATCAACTTAAAGGATAAAATATCAAAAGTATATAGTTTCCTCTACTTAGAATACTCTTCCCTAATAGTTACGTGGCCAGTTCCCTCACCTAATCACTGCTGAGATACCATCCTCTCAGCAAGACCTTCCCCTGTCACGCTTTTGAATTTGAGTTCTGCCTCCGGCACTCCGTTTTCCCTTTCCTGCTTCATTTTATCCAAAGTACTTAATATGTAACATCCCTTATGTATTTTACTTATTGTTAGATTCATTATTTGTCTCCTCCCAACTGAAATGTAAGCTTTGTGAAGGTAGGGACTTTGATCTCTTTTGTTCAGGGATACATTCCATGTACTTGGAATACTGCTTGGACTTATGGTCATTTCTCAGTAAAAATGTGTTGAATAAGTGAAGGAATGATTATACTATTTATGAGTCTCAGATTAAGGATTCTGTCTACAGTCATTTTCCCTCTTAAAAGTTCTTCAATGGTAACAGAGGGAGGGGCTGTTTTTGTAATACTCATCTTTTTGGTTTGAATAAAGTCATATATATAGCGCTTAGTAGATGATTAATAAATGTTCATCTCCTTCCTTTTCACTCTGGAAGAAGTTGAAGCTTTAATCAGCAAAAGGTAATTTTCATTATGACACACCTCTTAAGAAATTTCAAAGTAAAGTTCACACACACCAAGAATAGGTGGCAAGAGGGTATTTAGGGTCCAGTATATTTAGACATAGGAATTAAATGTGTTAGCCTCAAAATAAAGTCATATTTGTCAAAAAAAACATTTTTTTTTCCTTTCCACCACAATGGATGCTTCACTAGTTACATGGGGGAAGTTAGTGGGAAAATAGATACATAATTTTATATCATGGATACTTTTTCAGAAGCACATTTTTCGTTTTGGCGATAAATACAAAGATTTCATTAGGAATCTTTGCTAATTTATGCTACCAGTATATTTATCACACTTTGCTCAGTCATTTTTCATTCTCTAACAAAATCAGACTCTTTCCTTTAGGAAACTGAAATCTCTTTCTTTTACTTCTTTCGTCTTTGGAGATATATTTTAGGAATATTTTAAGTGCAACGTTGTAGTGAATAAATTCCCCATACCTTCTAATAATAAGCACCCTTCAATGTGAATCTCCGGAAAACTGATCAAATCTCATTCAAAAATAATTTTTATAAAGTAGTTATACATTCTCCAATGTGATTTATTTTAAAAATATTTTGTTCTGATGACAGAAACCTCCAACTCTCATGATACCATTTGTAAAGGCAAAGTGTAAATATATATTAAACAGTAACGTGAATTAAAGGTAAACATTTGTGGAATCTTTGAAAGTGACTTATAAGTTAAATAATGAATCTCTAATAGATAGGTCTACTTTGTGTTTTACATAGTAAAAAAATATGCATGTATTCTTATATAGCATCTTAAAACTGTATGTAGTTATATAATAACTGTAATGTAGAAATAATTTGTTTTTTTTAACTTTTGCGTTAGTTTCCTGGTCCGTGAAACAGAAGACGTTGTGATTGGAGTGGTTCTTCAGCTACTGGATGGAAGCATAAAATGCCTGTTGATTTGCTGAAAAAAAATGAAGAATGTGCTATCTGCAGTACAGTTACCTTACTTACTGTAATGTGCCTCAATAGTAAGGCTGCCTTCTCAGTGTAACCCTCTGTGCTTAAACAGTTTTATTTTGTGTGCTTTGTATTCACTACACAAGAATAAGCACTTTTTTTGTAGTGCAGGTATATACTGCAGTTCCCTGATAAAAGCTGAAAAAATTTTTGAGTAAAGTTCTTTAAGTTAAGATTTGATAAATGTGCATGTGCCATGATCAAATATATATGAAAAGGCAGTGTTCCTTGTATTTATTTTTTTCTTTTTGTGGCAAACAAAACGTGAGCATACTGTTTCAGTCCCATTTGCATTGTTGTAGCGTATGGCTTGTTTCTTGTATCTTTAAAAATGTTGCTCAATAAAATAAATCAACTATTTTATGTTTCTACACCTTCAGCATTGGTTAAAAATGAGTTTCTATTTAATGCCACATTGAGGTGAAAAAATGGTTTCTTGACAGATTTTTTAAAAATAACTTCTAGTATTTTAGGGAGCTGCTCTAAGTAGTTTAAATTTGGGTTTCCTGGTAGAATCCTCCTAATCTCCGGCTAAAGGTGTCAAAATAACCCAAACCCAGACTCTGGGCAGAACAAAGTTCTGTCTCCTCCCCTGGGGTACAGTTTCACCTTCCACTCACTTGTCGTTCCACCTCCTAGCAGACGGACTGTCATTCCTGAGGCGTGAGCATTCTCAGGGCCAGAGCCAGCCTCAGTGCTGTGTGTGTAGAGGGAGACTCACCTGTCTATCTGAGGGTAGAGTTTTGATCCCTGAACAATTCATTGACTAGCCTTATCTCGTCCATCCAGCTAAATAAAGTAATTTACCAGTGTAAATTTTAATGCTGCTTCTCTTTCAGTTGTTTCTATTTTGTAAATCTCTTCGTGACTAAAATAGCCCCCACCCAAAATCAATTGGATCAATTTTCGTGGTTAGTTGGATGAATATTCTTGATGAATGTAACACGTTGCTGTCCTTCACAGATGGCACCACTAACCTGTTGCTTATAGCACATTTGTATTTTTTTATTGGTGTTTGATAAACAATAGTGACGGATTTGCATTTTTCTGTCTACACACTCTTCTGTTTTCTTCTTTGGACAATTGCTTGCAGGATGACGGAATGCCAGGGTTAAGGGTGGAATCTGTGACCAAGGGAAACAAAGTTGACTGCTCAAATGTGACCCACAGCCTTGGCCTCCTGGGTGGCCCCTGAACCAGTGAAGGTAGCTTAGATGGGTTGTGTGTGTGTCTGGAAAGGTTCAGATTCATTGTTTAGAAGCCAAGTTTGATCTTTGAATAAGCCCTGAGAATCTTACAAAACCCAGAAATTCTATTTTTTCCATGTGCTGTTGATGAGAAGGAGGAATGAGGAAAGAGAATTTAGAGATTCAGCACAAAACCATTGCTACTACTGGCAAAAAAATCTTTAAAAACTGTCTTAGTAATAGAGGTCAGTAATGTCATCTTCATATGTGAAGGACACACACGTGATGCATTGCTCACAGAAGTAGAAAGGTGTAATTGGTTGTGATAAATGTTTCACTTGAATCTTCATGTAAGGCTTTTATTTTTGCTTTTGTTTTTCAAAGTCAGCAAAACTCATTCTGTTTATGTCATCAAGTCATTTCAGGAATAGGAGATAAGTTCAATTGATATTAAGGTGACATGGCAATATTGATAACTCGAATGTGAATGTTTCAAGTATTGAATTTTTGTCCCTATGGGACATTTATTAAATACACTTAATAGGACTCTTGCAAAGTAGCCTTAAAAGTGTTGATGATTCTATTAATAAATATGAACACATACTATTATTAGAACCAATCTTACTCATATCTCAAATACAGTACATTTACATTACTGTAGAGGAAGAAGCTGTAATTTCTTATTAGGTGTATTTTTCTTTAGAAAGAGAACCCTGAAAGCTGCCAGTTTTTCTATTAACCTTGAATTATTGGAATTGTATTTATTTAATTTTATTGTTTTTTTACAAAAATGCACCTTGTGGCCAAAGGGCAAAGATATGACTCATTACATAAGGGATTTATGTTTTTCAAAGAGCTAAATGTTTTCATATCCATTTTTATATAAACTTGAAACAGTTGGTAGGAAGAGAACCTCTTGGAAAAATAAGATTTTTCAAAAGTAAGTATTCCTCTGGATGTTTTTATACTGATTATGTTTTGGAATAGGACAGAAGTGGCTTTTCGTTAGGATAAGGATAATGCCCTGCTCTGCCTGTTTGTTTTTGTGGGGGATTTAAGACCATGACTGAAAATGGCTCTTGCTCCACTGAGAAGAGTAGAAATAAGTCCCCCAAATATAAAACTCCTAAATAACTATTAGAAAAATTAAAATGTTTAAATTTTGTAAATCACCTGATACCACTACACACCTGTGACGCCATGTGCTTACAACATTTTTGTAACATTCCATCTGTGCCCATTCCCTAAAAGTCATGAGTTGATAGTAAGGGAAGTGACAAAAAATGTAGTTATGAAAAATAAAACTCTGAATGTTTGTAGGAAAGGTTTTGGAAGGAAAATTGCAGAACTCAGTGTGTACTACAAATACAAAATACAACCAATGTCCTTGTCCCTTGTCCTCACCCCCACCCCCACCAGAATCATCACTAAAAATAGTTCACTACTTAAAAAACAGAAGTAAATACTTTTCTCAATATTATTTGGCTATGCAAATGTTTGTTTTGCTTGATGTCCTCCATTTACGCTTCTCAGCAAATGTAGTTGCAGACAAATGCTTTCTTTTTATTTTTCCCTTGGTTCTGGGTATGTAAATAGCCTAAAATGTACATTGAATTTCACATTGTAAAAGTTTATTTTATTCCTTGTATTATATTAAGCAAAAATCCCTATGTATATGAAAGTGCATAATAAATATATTTGCTTTACAGAGGATATCTTGTTTTAATTTTATCCTTGAACATTCAATAGAACATGCATGACATGCTTACTTATTTTAAATAAATACTGAACAAATGAATTTGGAAACATTTTACAAAGAAAAAGATGAGATATAAGAACTTTCCAAAGGCAGTTAAGAAGACAAAATGATCTAGCCTTTATAGCTTCCTAAAGCTTCATAAGGACTTAATGTTCTTTTTATTTTTTTCCTGACTGATAACATACTATATCTTACCATGTCAGGTTTCATGCCTCTGAAATTGCAGTAATCCAATAAATTGTGTGAATGTGTGCTCCTTGATCATCAGAGTATTGTGGCCATCTTACATTTGATATTTTGGAGTTTTATCGCAAACGTTGTTATTCATTTTCTAAATAAATGTCTATATATTCTTTACTCAGTTAAGTTGAGTCAATTTTTCCTGACCTTCAGCTTCCCCACTAGAACTCAGTATCATATATGTGTATATATGAGAGAATAGTAATAGAATATATATACGAAAGAGAGGTTTCTAAGAAGGTCAGCATGGTATTTTCTGTTAGGTAATTTTATCATAATTACAGGGTACTGCAATAATTAATTACGTTATATTCTTTATAAATTTGCTGGATTAATAAAAATTTTATTCTAAAAACTTTTAGTAACAATGTTTAAACACAAATCGGTGACATACATAGAAAAATTTTAAAAGAGACTGGTTGACTAAATAAACTATGTTACAGAGTTTTCTACGTGGTGATCCATGGAAATACACTGAGAACTTGGCAATGACTAACATTTTCACTCCTTTGCCCTAGCAGTTGGAAGGATTCCAACTAACAGTGAGATGCACACCAAAGGCTTAGATTCCTGAATATCTGGGAAAACTTCATTCATCATGCAAATATTTGCACAATTCTTATTTTCGAGATAGGGCCTCTGCTTGCCTGTCTTCCTATAAAATTAAAATAATCCAATATTGAAATGGAGTCATTTGAAATGTACTGCATGTTTAGATTTCTGCTCTTTCAATACACACTATCATTGTCTTGCTAAATTTATTTCTTTAAGCAAAGTGTACCTTACATATGATAAAATTCATGCTTTTTAAGGATAGTTTGATGACTGTATATAGTATAAACTCCAGCACAACTGAGATGTAGAGTATTTCCATCACCCCAAAAAGTTACTTTGTGCATGCCCTTTTGAAATGAATTCCCTTCTCTCACACCCCCAGCCTCTGGCAACCACTGGTCTAATTTCTTAATAGTTTTGCCTTTTTGGAAATGTCTGATAAATAAAATATGTAGACACTGTTGTGCCTGACTTATTTCACTTAGCATGATGGTATTGAGATTCATCCATGTTGTAGCGTGTATGAGTAGCAGGGCTTTTAATGCTGAATAGTATTCAATATTCTACTTGTAGAACTGTACCACAATTTGTTGATCCATTCACAGGATGATAGACTTTTGAGTTGTTTCCAGTTGTTGGCTATTATGAATAATGCTTTTATGAGCATTTGTGTTTAGACATTTGTGTTGACATGATTTCATTTGTCTTGGATAAATACCTAGGGGTGGGATTGCTGGGTTGCAAGGTAAGTATATGTTTACATTTCTAAGAAATTGATGAAACTCTTTACGCGGTGACTGTACCATTTTGCATTTTCATCAACGATGGATGAGAGTTCCAGTTTCTCCACCTTTTCACCCACATTTGGTATTGTCTTTTTAATTAAAATTTTAATTGAGATAATTGTAGATCCATGTGCAGTTGTAAAAAATAATACAGAAAGATCCTGGGCCAGCCCAGTGGCACAGCGGTTAAATGCACCCGTTCCGCTTTGGCAGCCCCGGGTTCGCTGGTTCAGATCCCGGGTGCGGACCTGGACACCATTTGTCAAGCCATGCTGTGGCAGGCTCCACACATATAAAGTAGAAGAAGACAGGCATGCTTATTAGCTCGGGGCCAGTCTTTCTTCAGCAAAAAGCAGAGGATTGGCAGTGGGTGTTAGTTCAGGGCTAATCTTCCTCAAAAAAAATAATAAAGAAAGATCCTAAGTACCTTTCTCCAGTTTCCTCTCATGGTTGCATCTTGTGAAACTATAGAACAGTATCATAGGCAGGATATGAACATTGATACAATCCACCAATCTTACTCAGATTTCTCCAGTTTTACTTGTACTCATTTATGTGTGTGTGTGTGCGTGCATGTATTTAGTTCCGTTCAATTTTATCACATGTATAGGTTCCTGTATCCACCACAGCAGTCAGAATACAAAAGTTCATGACTACAAGGATGTCTCAGGTTGGCCTTTTATAATTACATTCACCTGCTTCCTACCCAGCCCCTCATTCCTAACTCCTGGCAACTACTAATCTAGTCGTCATTTCCATAATTTTGTTATTTCAAAATTGTTAAATAGAATCATAGAGTATGTAGCTTCTGTGGATTGGCTTTTTTCACTCAGCAGAATTCCCTTGAGATTTATCCAAGTTGTCTGTTATGGTAGTTTTTCTTTTTATTGCTGAGTAGTATTGCATGGTATGTATATACTTCGGTTTATTTTTCTGTTCACCCATGGATGGACTTCCAGACCATTTCCAGTTTTGAGCTCTTATGGATAAAGCTGCTATGAATATCTGTGTATAGGTTTCTCTGTGAATATAAGGTGTCATTTCTCTAGGAGAAATGCCCAAGAGTGCAACTGTTGGGTCACATGGTAATTGCGTGTTTAGTTTTATAAGAAACTGCCAAACTTTTCCAGAGTGATTGTATCATTTTACATTTTCATTACCAATGGATGAGTGCTCCAATTTCTTCACATCCTTGCCAGCATCTGGTGCTGTCATTTTTTATTTCAGCCTTTCTGGTGTGTAGTAGCACCTCATCATGTTTTAATTTGAATTTTTCTAATGACGTGTTGAACATCTCTTCATGTGTCTATTTGCCATCTATAGATCCTCTTCAGTGAAATGTTTGTATCATTTGCCTATTTTCTAACTGAAGTCTTTGTTTTTTTAAATGTAGAGTTTTGAGAGTTCTTTATATATTGTAGCTACTAGTCCTTGGTCAGATATGTGGTTTGCAAATATTTTCTCACAGTCTAGCTTGTCTTCACTTTCCCCATATAGTCTTTTGCAGAGCAAATGTTTTCAATTGCAGTCCAATTTATCAATTTTTTAATTATGGATTATGCTTTTTCTGTCAACTCTAAGAACTCTTTGCCTATCCCTAGATCCCAAAGATTTTTAGCCTTTCTTTTCTAAATGTTTTACAGTTTGTACATTTTCTTTTAAGACCTTGATCCATTTTGAATTAATTCCTGTATTGGTTGTGAGATTTAGGGGGAGTTCCTTTTTTTGTCTATGAATGTCCAGTTACTTCAGCACTGTTTGGTAAAGTTTATCATTCCTTCACTAATTTGCGTTTGCACATTTGTCAAAAATCAGTTGAGCATATTTGCGTGGGTCTATTTCTGGGTTTTCTGTTTTGTTCTTTTGGTCTATGTGTCTTTCCCTCTGCCGGTATCACACTGTCTTGATTACAGTGGATATATGGTAAGCCTTAATTTGAGGTAGAGTGATTCCTCCCATATTTTTTTTTCCAAGATTGTTTCAGCTTTTCTAGGACCTGTGCCTCTCCATGGACATTTTAGCTATTCCAGAGCCTGTTCCTTTCTGTGGAAATTTTAGAATAGGCTCTTCTAAAACGAAAAAACTTGCTAAAGTTTTGATAGAAATTGCATAAACCTCGTCAATTTGAGGAGAACTGATGTCTTTACTGTGTTGAGGCTTCCAATCTATGAATATGATATGTATCTCCATTTATCTAGATCCTTGATTTCTTTCATCAGCATTTTGTAATTTTTCATATACACATCCTTAAATGTTTTGTTAAATGTATATCTAAGTAGTTCATTTTCTTTGTAGCAATTGGAAAGTGGGCTTTTAATTTCAAGTTCCACATGTTCATTGTTAGTATATTGATTTCTATGTGTAATTTTACTGAATTCCTTTTTTTTCCCCCCCTTGATCCCTTGGGACTTTCTGTGTAGAGAATCATGCCATCTGCAAATAGGAACAGTATCATTTGTTCCTTCCCAATTCGTGTGCCTTTTATTTCTTTTTCTTGCCATTGCAGTGGTTAGATGATCCAGTACTATGTTGAATAAAGAGGTGAGGGCAGGTATTTGAGTCTTGCTTGCGATTTTAAGGGGCAAGAATTTTGTCTTTCACCATTTAAGTATGACGTTGCCTATAGGGTTTTCTGTAGGTGCTCTTTATCAAGTTGAGTTAATTCCTCTTAGTCCTACCTTACTAAAGAGTTTTTTGTTGTTGTTTTTTAAATCATGAATGAGTGTTAGATTTTGTCCAATGCCTTGCATACCTGGAATAAATTCCACCTGGTCATGACGTATAAATTTTGTTATCCATTGTTAGATTTAGTTTGCTAACATTTTGTTAAGGAATTTTACCTCTAAGCCCATGGGAGATATTAGTGTGTAGTTTTGTTTGTATTGTCTTTATTTAGTTTTGGTCTTGGTAATACTGACCTCATAAAATGAGTTGGACTGTGTTCCCTCCTCTTCTGTTTCCTGGAAGAGATTATGTAAAATTGATGTTAATTAGTCTTTGAATGTTTTGTAGAATTCTATAGTGAAACTCTCTGGGCTTGGAGATTTCTTACTCAGGAGCTTTTTAATTATGAATTCAAAGTTTTTAATGATTATAGCATCTAATTCATTTTGGTTGAGATTTGGTAGTTTGTAGTTTTCAAGAAACTGATCCATTTATTCTAAGTTGTCGATTTTACAAGTGTAAAGTTGTTCTTAGTATTCCTTATTATCTCTTTCATGGTTGCAGGATCTACAGTTATCACTCCTGATTTATTCCTTGAATTAGTGATTTGTGTCTTCCTTTGTTTTATTTTTGTCGTTCTTCCTAAAGGTTTATCAACTTACTATATTGATTTTTTTTGAAGAATCGGCTTTTGATTTCATTGACCTTTT